AATTCACAACAGTTGAGTAATATTTAGGTTTATTAAATTCTATTCAAAATCTTCACCACAAATGTGACACGTTATTATAAGGCAAGCGGTTAATACAGTTCTTCCTACTGTATGGTGTGCAATCGAAGAATTTTATAATAATAAAACAAAAGTTTCACATCTCACACTTGAAATGATGTTTTCACCCGTTTCAAAGAAACAAATAGTTACGTTTCTATTATACAAAGTGTAACCATGAAAATATTAAATGATTATTTGCAGTTTATTATCAACCCTTCCCAAAAGCAAAAGCATGATTAAAAACTAGGTTCTATTTTGTATCGAACTAATCGGAGCAGTTCACAACGCTCACTGAAACTTCACTAAAATATATACACAGAATCAAAAAAGTATGCAGGAAAATTTTTATTAAAGTTGCGTAAGTACGGTTGAATGTCACACTAATCGAATTAGTTACGTTACCGTTATCGGCGAAAGTTGAAATGTGACGAGTCGACCAGCCGACCGGAAATACACTATATTCTATATCCGTGACTGGCCAGACGTTTGAAGTCATCCATTAGTCAATATTCAAATTCTGATCCGGCTAACTCGGCTAAACTGAACAACGCCGCTTTGCGGTGCGCGTTTCCTCGGTCAGATGATTCGAAACACGCTGACCGCAACAAATACGTTTCGAATGTAAAAGACAGTCCGAAACGGTCGGGCGACGATGCGTCCGCGAAATCGAAAAGCACCGACTAATAAAAGAACCCAGAGCAATCGGTCTGTCATCTTTCGCGATCGCAAACTGATTCTATACACATTTTAGCTGATTGAATGAATTCGATTAGAGAAAATTGATTAGAGACCTCGAACATCTTTTGGCTACCTCGCTTCGAAACATTCCGCTGCCGTTTAAAGCCAGCCTGCTGAAAATATCTGCGCGATTGCACACGCTGATATCGACACACGGGCGATTCAAAATACAAAGCATATGTCGTATTCGCGCGGAAAACGGGGCAACGTTTGAAGATATAGTGACCGATCACGCAAAGTGAAGGCACCGGAACGTAGTATGTGATAGCTTTGAAGATAGTTAACGCGTAGCCAACCGAATGGGGAGATTTTCCACTTTTCTCTTAGCCACGCATTAGCTTTTGTTTCTATTTTCTTTTGTTATTCAGGAAATCTTCAATTCCTTTGGAATTCTTTGTAATTCGTTAAACACTTTTCTTGTTTTTACAGAACAATGTTTTTAATAAAATCAATTAAACGAATCTAATTGAAGTTAATACGAGAGGTATAGTCATAGCCTTGTTTAGACGGTTGTATAATTGTTAATATTCGAATATAATTATAATTTATTTTTCATATTCTGGTACTGATACAAGACATTTTTGTATTTATTATGTTTATACACGAAACGGAGTATGATCGATATTTTACGAAAAATTGATTTAGATATTCTAACTTTGACGTAAGTGTGTCAGATTTATTCTGGTTTTACATAGTACATTTCAAAAATATTATTATTTCAGAAGTCAATACTTTCACGTGGAAACGGAAATAAAAGTGAACAATATTTTTATTTACGTAACGATTTTTAAATATTTTCTTGTCTGCCTTTTTTTATAATGAATAATATGTTGCTATAGAGTAATATTATTTGCGTCAGTAACGAAAAATAATATGCTGCCGCGAGTAGCTAAATTGTTATGTTTAAACATTGAACTCATTTTATTTAATACAGATCTGTAATATAAGTAAATGAAATCACTCGTTTAAATGTAGACACTTATAGACTGTTAAATTCATTTTTATGTTGGTACTTATACAGTACAAAGAATTCACTAAGATTCCTGCGGATTCATTTCCCTCTGCATTTTACATTAATTTTATCTGAATAACACTAGAGAAAATTGCAATTCTGTTATAAAATGTAGGTCCAATACTAATCAAATTTCAACAGAACTTCAAACGAATTTTAAAAATCGCAACATCACTAATTAAAAACAGTTCACACCCCTTTCTCTGGAAAACAATAATTACAGAATGTATTCTTTAGCATAGTATATGTTTCAATGTTTCCGTAGTTTTTCCAAACATCTACATAACTATGTGTGCATTACTCGCAGAAGTAGAGAATGTCACGAAATCCACCAAAACGCCTAAAACACAAGTAAAAAGTGTATAATTTGAACAGAAAATCGTACGGAAGACTGATTCGACGGCACCGCTCTCGACGGTACATTCATTTCAGGGGGTTTCGCGTTCGGCAATGATTAATAATCAATTCTTATCACAGAAGTTATTTACACGATCCCATACATCGATCTTCCCTCTGACGAAAGACCGAGCATCGCGTCCACAACACTCGTCATCAAACGAATCACGGTTTTCGTTCACGTTCCTCTTCCTTCCTATTTTTTATTTTCTTTCGTTTCCTCTTTGAAGCACAGACAAGAAATCTAGTCGTCCTATCGGAAAGAGACTCGAGAAAATTGCGTGCCTTTGCCCGTCGCCGTTGCCGATTATCCCTTTCGTTTCTTCATTCGCCGGCGAGAGGTCTCGCGCGACGGAGGACGCTTCGCTTTCTTTCTCGTTTTGTCCACCCCCGTTATTAACACTAAACGTGCCGACATTTTGTATATACCTATTTCTACCGTAACCAGTGAAATAACGGGTTATAAAATAAAGGTAAACGTTAGACGATCAATTGTCCTTATTCGAAACAGAAACAGAAGAGAGACAAAAATTGAAAAACTGATTAACACGTTCGCGACTGGCGTTTGTTACAATAGCAATCTTCATGGTTACAATATTTTATAACATGCGACGAATTGTCTAGATGAAATGCAAGTAAAATCCAAGGAGAAAGTCGCGTCAGCTTCCTACGTTTCACACCGTGCGTTACGATATTAAATACAAACACATGTGTGTGTAATTTAATTTTCTTTACACAAGATACAAATGTTGATCGTCACAAATGTGTGACGTTGGTCGCGAATGTGAATCGGACGATATAAAAATTGATATAAAGTTAAATGAACGAATATAAACGCAGGATTTTAACCCTTTCCTCCCTGAATATGTACGTTTTTAACTATGAATTTCATGAAAAAAAGCTTACGGCTACGTATTGTTCAATCAAAACACATGTACTGCCAGCTAATTAGCACTTAGCCGTAAGTAAAAGTTCTCGCGTGGTACAAGTTTTCTTTATCTAGGCATTTTCTAGATTTTCGGTAATTAAAAATGTTCGTGGTACCTAAGTAGGTGTATCATTCGGGACGAAAGGGGTAACCTGTTAACTGAGGAATTTAGTTCCAAAAATTTCTCGGTTCGCGCGCAATAAAATTAAGAAACTGAAATGTGTACTCGTGAAACGCAAAACGAATTCACCTACGATATATTTGAATGAAAAACCAAAGCAAAACAAAAAAGGATGACATGTTTATCTGAAAAAATAAAGAATGCATCGTTGGAAGAATTAGTATCAGTTCAAGCTTTAAGATGGCGCGTATACTTGTGGAACACAGTTAACTGGTTAAATGAAATTTTAATATCGGTCATTTGACCCGTCGCGGTACGTTTAGTGGTAATTCCCTTTTCCCGCGTAGTCGAGTGAATTCGCGATCGGTGGGCTCTATCACGAGCAAGGATCAATAACGTCGACCCGTAAGAGTGATCGGTAATTCGTGAAAAATTACATCCGAAATTCCGGGAACGCTCCCGAGTTTGCGTACGCAATCGGGATGTACAAGTCCACCGAAAACTTCTATCCGTTCTTTAATTAAAAAAAAAATAACACATTTCCAACTTATATGCATCGATAGTCCTGTTACATTACACATACTACTAGATTGCTTTGAAATGTACCACTCTATACAAAATGATTAATTAATAAGACTTTGCCAAATGTCTAAATGAATTTCCCGCGCAAACGGCTGATATTTACCGAACAATATAATTTCTATCGTTCGTATAATGACTCATCTCAGGAAAATTGAAATGACATTTGTCGGACATAACTTTTCGGTAGAGCATAATTTAAATGACGTTTTAGAATCTTACGCCTAACTATTCATTCCACGGTCATCGTTTCCATCATCCCCCGGAGCGAATTGTATCCCCTAAATGTAAAATGAACCCATTACATTTAGACAACGAATCTTCCGAAACGTCGAATTTTTCGAGCGTGCAGCGCGACTTTCCGACATATCGACCGAATTTCACGGAAATTTCGTTAATTCGCGTCTAGATATGTATGTTAAATATAATATCAAGGAAATTTCTACTATTATCGCGCGTTCAAATCGATTCGAAACGGAACGATGATTTCATAGTAAACCGTGTGTTTGCGTAACATTTTTATTTATTCGTGGAGCATTAACAACAGCAGCAGTTGCGAATGACAACGGAAGAACAGTAACGGCGATGGTAATAAAAGCGTCGATAATACTGATAATACTGATAATACTGATAATACTGATAATACCGATAATGCTGATAATACTGATAATACTGATAATACTGATAATACTGATAATGCTGATAATACTGATAATGCTGATAATGCCGATAATGCTGATAATGCTGATAATAATGATAATGCTGATAATAATGATAATGCTGATAATAATGATAATAATGATAATAATGATAATGATGATTGCGTGGACAATGACGCGATGGCAATGACGATGGTCGCGATAATAAGTGCGATAATGAAACAATAGTAATAACAATAATAATGCTGTCCCGTAATACTAGTAGTATCTAGCAATAGTTTCATAGATAGTAGTAATACCGGTAATAGTAGTTTTCGTAATGATAATAGTGTTAACGACGATGCGTTCTCGGCAAAAAACGGTAGCATCTTGATTACCGACGACACGATTATCGTAATACCGATTCGCTAAACCTTACTTGTTTACGTTACACGGACGCCAACTTCGTTCGCAACGTGACAATATTCATATAATAATCTATCTATTCGGTTTTTATGTTTTTTTTTGTCTTTCTTCACCCGATAAAGACCCGAACGCGTCCGATCCACTTTTTAACGATACAAATAACGCGTGAAATATTTTAGCTGATACCCGCTAGTTTTGTTTCAATGAGCATTCGTATTAAAAATGCACTCCCCCTTCTCGCGCGCGCCTCTTCGATATAAAACTTTGTTTCCTTAATTCTTTTATAGACCATTCTAGAATATATTTATTCTATGTTTCTTTCCTTTCTTTTCTTTTCTGTTCTTTTCATTTCTTTTTTTGTTTCGTTTTCGTTTTATCGTGTTCCATCCCGTCCAAGCCGAATATTAAATATGTATTTGGTCTGTCCTTCTGCGACCGCGTCTCGACGCACTCCGTCTTGCCGATGCTTCGATCAAATTCGGTTTCTTCGAATGGAGATTGTGTGAGCCTGTCAGATCGATTTCAACCGCCGTCCGGCGGTCGGTCAGAGCGTCGAACGAAAAACCGCCGTGATTGCACGCGTATGTACCTACGCCTTTCCCAGCGAATCGCACCGCGATTTAGAAAATTATTCTAGGTCGTAGATGAAAGCACGTTCCGATCTGAGAATGTTCCTCGAATTCGCGTCGACCCAAAAATCATCGATTGCGCCTCCGTTCGATCCGGTTCGAAGCTTTTTAGTCGCTAAAAATTCATTTTGTTCGTTGTTCTCGAAGCTGTCCTCTATCGCCATACAGCCCGGGAAGCGAAGGGTTCTCGAAAGGAACTGCCATAGTACGTGCGTCGTTTTTTCTCTGTTTCATCGGTCTATAGCGCGCGTCTTTCTATCCCATAACACATGATTGTCGGATATTTCGAGCAATCGTCCCTGAAAACGTTCCGAGACGACATTTTGATGAATGGTTTCGCGTATAGTAAACGCGTGCTTCCTTGTGTATGGCGATACGTTCATTTTTAAATTAACGATCGAACAGGAATCGACGATTTTTCATCATTTAAAAATATAACTCCGAAGAATCCCTAATTATTCAGGTTTTCTCCACCGTGAACCGCGAGAAAATTTCAATCGATCATTTACGTTTTGAGAATTCCTTCGATCGAGCCCCGATCGAGCACCGATCGAGATTATTCTAACTAAGATTTTTAAAGTTATTATTATGTTTATAATTAATCTTACTTAGTTTTATCTGATACTGTTTTGATACCTATTACGTCGCTATAATGTATTGAGTCCCACGACATGCAAACATTTCTTTTCTTCTTTTTATGTACATATTTTATTTGAGTATTTAATCCGAACACCTCGAGGTTATTCATTATTATGTTTCTCCCGTCGTTTTAACAATAAGTGTGTACTCCCACGTTCCGTACAGCTTCGGCTACTTGGAAAATAGAGTAGGTTCGTTTTCACAGACGAGTGAAGATTCAACGATTTTTGTGCGATGCGAAGATCAATGACTGTACTGCTGTGACGCTACGCCGCGTCGCGTCCGCCATTTTGTGCTCTCTTCCGGCACTTTCCTGTCCCGCGTCGAATGTACGCGACCGTGTGTATAAAAACAATCATATAATATTCACGATAATCGCGTGCGTATGTTTCTTCGTGTATTGTTTAACTTTACATTCGTTGTACGATACGAGGAACGTAACTGCCGTGTTTACTTCAACGTGTTTCTTACGTATATCGATTCTTATATTTATCTAAATGCCATACGCGAAACTCCACGGGGAAACGAACCGCGATCTTACATATGTTAAGGTCTATTAGCTTTCTACGCGTAACACTGTTACTTTTCGTTCTAAACATTGGAACAATTAACCCTTTGCGAATGAGTACTTTTTCAAGTAAAAGCTTGATTCTTAGTTTGTTTAATTCTCCAACGTATTTAGTTGTTAGTCCATTTAATTGGCCGACTGACTGCCCAAATAAAAAATGGAAACTTGAGAAGAAATACTGATAGATAGTCTGCAGTATAATCTAAAAATCTGAATTATTGCGCGTATGAATAATGAAAACTGAACAATCCAGATTTCGAAAAACTGTAGCTTGGTTAATCAAAGTTTTACTGTATTCAGAACTCTCAGCTGAAGAAGCTAAATTACGTATTGAACTCTTAAGTACAAGAAAAAGGAAATTATGTATTAATCTTCGATCATTTAAATAATTAAATCATTTGTTTGCAACTTTGTGTTCAAGATATGAATCTTTGATGTCGTCGATACGACGGCATTCGTTCTCAAAGGGTTAATATTAGTTGTGGTACAATGAAGAATGAAAGTTTCCTGCATCTCTATCAAAACTTTTGAGAACATTCACTGCATTTGTAATTGTTGCTGTGAAATTTCTATAAGAATTTAGAAACGGTTGGTTCATGTCATTTCAATTAATCACATGATATTCAAGATTCACTGAGACATTTTGACTCGTTGATTTTGCATTCAGTACATAATCATTCTTTTTACGACTGGATATCTATATTTCATTCTTGTTAGGGTATTACGTTGGTCATTACTTACTCACTGAATGATTTTTCCTTAAATTTTTTTATTTTTCCTTACTAATCTTTTTATGTTTTGAATGAATCGAATACCGATTTTACTACGAAAAAGTTAAATTCACAAATTTGATCATGTTATGAAAAATTGAAGTTAATTAACGTTAAAATGTGTAACAGGCAATAACTCATTAAAGAAATTTATAAACAGAAATTTTTAAGATGATTAATCAAAATAGTCCTAAAGAACTGTGTATTAATTGTGAGCTACCGCATTTAACATAAATCAAGATGCGATCGAATACTTTTAACAGATAATGTAATTAATTTCATACATCGTGATCTATTATTTTTGTACACAAAGATAAAAAGAACTATAAACTAAAAATTAATAACATCTATAATAATATCTATTGCATGTTCCTCGATTCTCTGAGAGAAATTTTAAATTATATTTTGTTTTTACAAAACCAACACGGAAACTCATATAAAGTATGAACAGCAGCTTGTTAAATCTATATTTTAATTTATATTGCAACTAATATTTATTTACATACCCGTCATTTTTACGTTCATTCACATCCAGTTCTGTCAACTGAATATATTGACTGTGAAATTGTTTAACACGTTCATTAATTTCAAACGTCAAATATAAATTTTGCAATCAATGAAGATGAATACTGAGATGAATAAATTCCGGTGTTACAAACAGTGTTGTAATAAACGATTTGTAATATACGAGTTCACACTGTTCAACGATGAATAATGCATTTATATATACGCAACCTGTCACTAAATTTCGTAATTCTCAGCGAATTTGATTATTAATGTGATTATGCCTAAATTTTCAAATGTACGTACGCCTGATCTATTGCGTTAAATTATATGATGTTTAGCATATTCCGCTTTGTCACGAGAAGGATTGGCAGACTGTTAGTTCTTGGAATCGTCTCTTTGGGTAAATGCGATCAAATTATTATAGAAATAAATACTTTTAACATCTAATGAAAACAAAAACGTTTCCTATTAGGTATTTTGTTTAATACATTGACAGTCATTTGCCATTTTTGTTTTCTTTTTTATAACACATGAAACTATTATCATCAATCTAGAATCAAGCTATTTTATCATTAATATGTTAACAATTATATTTATTAGCTTCTACAAAAATTAAAAATATTTTTAAAACATATGGTTGTTCTATCTTGAAAAATAAATATAGAATATGAATCAATTTTGGTTTTCGTGAAGTACTTAGGTACAATATTATTCAATTTGCATCTTTCTAATTTCAACAAAGTAAAGATGACAAACAAAGGCACATTTCTATCAAATAAAATCACAAAACAAGACTCGAATCAGACCAACCTAGATCCGAGAGGTTCTAAATCAAACTAATTTTGAATTTGAGATTGCAAGTGGTACAAGTTCTTCGTGCCAAGAATCAAATAAATTTTCGAATAGAAAGACACAAAGTAGATAATTACTTAGTTTAAGTACCCAATATGAAATCCTTACATTTAGGGACTGAAAATAAGATCTTTAGAAGGCATAAAGTCTTAGAAACCCTGGTTTCAGTCCCTGAATCCAATAATTGCCTAATTTGAGTTTTTGAATCTTGTGATGGTCTCCTTACTAGGTGTAGTAACAAGTTCTTTCCAATCAGCTTCAGTTGACTAGATTAATTTGTTTCATCAAAGTCACCGAATATCTATTACGATGGTGTTCATTGGTTCCCAGAGAAGTGGCAGGATATTATAAACGACAATAGCAATTATTTCAATGACTGGGAATTTCTTCATTACTTTAAATAAATCTTTGATCTCACAGAAAAATCGAGAAGAACTTTTTACTATACCTAATATGTTCTTTGCTAATGCAATTAAGGTGATTCGGTTTTGAAGTAGCCTGATTTCTTGGCCTGATTTAATGCCTTCAGATCACGATTGGTCCATTTTAGTGGCTTCATTTTCTCTGGTTCTCAAGGGTCTCAGTTTAGGATGGGTTCAAGTTGAATCTGACAGTCTTGGATTGGAGGAATTCGATTTTTCCGGTGTTTAAGTACGTAATGCGATTTAGGATTGTCGTCTTAATGTTAGTTTGATTTATATTTCGCGATGCTGAATTGGTCCAAGGTTGAAGTTGTTTGATTTTTCTTTTTTACTGGTCTGCAAACTGCAATTCGATGACTTCCCATTGACTGACTATGGAAAACTACAGAAAATGAGTGAAACGTAATGTCAAAGCAGTTTTTTTTTCTAATTAACAATGTTATTTTCAACAAATTTCCAAGAACTAGAAAGATTGCAAATATTTAAATTTCAGTGATAATATTTTTAAACGTGTACGCGAAGAAATGATTGAAATAATAAGACATTGCACCAATGTCATTGCACCAATCTGTTCCCGATTGCTCAACCGATTCTATCTATCTCTGATTCCGACAAAAAAGAAGCTAAATTACATTTACTGAAAGTTTACAAATAATAAAAATTAATTTACCAATTACCAATTCTGAATCATTATATGTTACTTAATTATAAATATCATATCAGATATTCCATAATTAAGCATCAAACTAAAACAAATCAAACTAAAAAGCGGAAAATACATAAAAGTAAAAATTGTTGCACGATAAAATTCTCAACGGTATTAAGAACATGAAATTATGTGGTACATCATAGAAACTACATTGCACGAAAAATACGATTATCGATTGCGAAAAATCGGATCGAGACGATTGCCAATTTTCACGTGATCAGAGTACAGTCACTGATAACTTCCATGTAATCAGGAAAACGCGTATAGCATGCTAGTCACGCGATCAATCCCGATTTCTTTAAAAGTCAACGAAACCAATCATCGCGTTTGTCGATGATCCATCAAGAACGATTTCGTGTCTGTACGGAAAGCAGAGGTTGTCCAACTTGGCAGTTTTGTCTACTGACCAGTCTGTTGCCAGTCCCCATCTCTTATTGCGAATCTGCGAGACCACAACGAAGGGACGCCGCCCAATCAATTCGATTAAACCTATTACCTGTTACGTTCATCGATAAAACCGGCTATAATTTGGTGAAATGAAGAAACCAGCGAAAGATTCACTTGAAATATTCATTGCTAATGTTCTAGGATCCATTAATCAAACACCATGTTCATTCAGGGAATCGTAAATGAACTGCAGCTCGCGTTTCTTTATCTGTAAATGGTTGGACACCCCTGTCTTGAGTTTCTCTATTTGGCAGTTATTTAAAGACCGTATCGTTCCCACGATAGACCCTTAATGGCACAACGCTACACGCAAACTCGATTCGTGACACGTCCGCACACAAAGCGATTATCATTAACAATATTATTCCTTTTGCATTTAATTACTCCTTAAACGTTATGTATATTATGTATATCGTTAACGGTACCGTTAACGTAAATATTATTCGATCATCTATTAAAGTATTCGTATTCCGTTAAATCCTTGTCACATTGTTTTAACCGTTAGCATTATTACGATTATTATTGTTATCGTTATTATTATTATTATTATTATTATTATTATTATTATTGTTATTGTTGTTGTTGTTGTTGTTGTTGTTGTTGTTGTAGTTGCTGTTGTTTTGTTGTTTTTGTTGCTGTTGTTGTTGTTGTTGTTGTTGTTGTTGTTATTGTTGTTTTGTTGTTGTTGTTGCTGTTGTCGTCTTTCTTCTTTCATTTTGTTCAGGTTTTGTTGTTACTAATTTATTATTGAAAGGCCGCGACAAACGTTCTCCCGAGGAATTATTACATAAACACCGCGTCTCGGCTATATACTTTTCCTCCTTCTTCTCCCTTTTCTCTCGTTTAATCACCGGAATCACTCTCGACCACGATATTTGAGTATACTTAAAACGCGCGCGTCTTTACGATAAATTAAACGTTACACAATCGACTTACGGCGAACATCGATTTTACCTATCCGGAGAGAAAAGTGACAGCGGTCGATTAATTAGGTTTTAAACAAAGACAGCCGAAGGAAGTGAACGCACAACGTGGCCGTGTATTGTCAGCAATATGTCGAGGCGCCGTTTTGTCCTCCCTTGTCGCGATCCCCATTCGTGTTCTTCGTTCGGTTCTTCCTTAATCCTTTCCCCTTCCATTCTCTTTCTGTGCGTCTCGCGTCCCATGAACGACCTTCGCGATCGACGACGGAATTGTTCGACCGATTTTTCAGGCACGGCGCTTAATTTGGCCACGGTCAGCCGAAAGAACCGAACTGACCACGATTCCCTTGATATCGACTGGGTTTCCTTTTCCGATCTTACTCGTATTTCGTTTTCTTCTTGTTTTTCTTTCTCTTCTTTTTCTTCCTTCTCCTCTTCCTCTTCCTCTTCTTCATCTTCCTCTTCTTCCTCTTCTTTTTCTTCTTTTTCTTCTTTTTCTTCTTTTTCTTCTTTTTCTTCTTCTTCTTCTTTTTCTTCTTTCTCTTCTTCTTTTTCTTTTCCTTTTCTTTTTCCTTTCCTGTCCGATACGTACTGCTCCTCTTCTTCCTCAGTTAGGTCCCCTGTAATTCTTCGATCGTTAACTAGAAGCACATCGCAATTTGTCGACAATCTCGCGCTCGAGTTTCACAATTTCCAGGTCTCCTCTTCCTAGGAAGAAAATGGAAGAACAGCGGGTAGGGCTTCGGCAGGCCTGAGCGAGAAGAAAGGAAATGGAGGGCAACGAATCCCGTGTCCATCTCGTCTTTCGTTGCTTCGTCGCGCCATAGCTGTCTCCTCGAAACCCATGCGTCGTCGTTTCTGTAGGACAAAGGAAAAGTATAGAGAGTGGATTACATCTGTGCTAGCTTTAGCTATTGTGAAGTTTAATCTTCGGATATGGCGTGCATTGGTTTGTGTGTTAGTTTTAGTAATTGCAAGAAACTCCGAGACTCAAATTACAGTCGAACCTCGACAAGTCGAATCATTGGGAGAGGCAAGGTCTTTGAGCTGTGGAGGTTTTTTCTTAGCGAGTTTTAAGATATAAGAGGTTTGACAAACGAAAATTCGATGAATGACGGTTTTGTGAAGCTTATATGTAAATACGAACTTCAATCGATGCTATGAATTTGAAAACAGCACAAATCAACTATGCAACATTTTGAGAAAATCAATATTCCTTTTCATCTTCGTTCAATCATACATTATATATTTCATTGATCCTTGCAGCAAGTATTGGCTACACATATGTATATCTTCATTGTATACATGTCTAATATCATTAAATAGGCCTGAATAAGCTAAAAAAAGTTAAATGAATAACTCATATAGATAACGTTAAAGAGTGGTCTTGTGCTGTTTTGGAATTAACGACTTCAGTTTGTACAGGTTGAATTTTCTTTAATTGGAATTCTACAGGTGAAATATATACTAAATGTGAGGAAGATAGTTTGAGCTACATTTGTGTTTTTGTGTTTTAAGTTGTAAAGGTTTTTACAGCACAGCGAAAGGTAATAGAAAAATTTTACGAGTTTTAGAGGTGTTCGAGTTGTTGCGGTTCTATTGCATTTGAGATTTGATATGCAAAGTAAACAATAGTCTTCATCAGTCTTTAACACTGGTACTACCAGACAGGCTAAAATGGTTCATTTTTTTATGTGTCTTCTATTTATTACGAAGAAAAGACTGATTTCCTGAAAAATTATTTAAAAACATGATTTACTCATACGCATACTAAGATGCATATCAACTGAAATTTTGATGCATTTTAAGATGCATATCAACATTACTTTATTGCTTTATTTATTAAATGATTCTTGTATTTGAAAATGTTGTATAGATTATTATATATTTAAATTTGGATTATTAACATAATAAGGTAATTAGATACAATATGAATAGATATGCATAATGAAAATATTGTAGTGTAATATCAATTCCATTAATCAATTAATTAATTGATCAATCGATCGATCAATCATCAATACTCAATCATCGATCAATCAATCCAATATTTTATTGTAAACAATAATTGATTTATTCGAAGATTGAATTTTGTCTCGACGACGATTTTCACGCAAATTGTGGATTATCCGCGGAAAATTGTATACTACTCCGTGTAGAATTTTCAACGTGACAACGAACCGGGTAACCTCGTTACATAAAACAAATTAACGTTCCCATACTCTATCAATTTTGCTTTCCACGTGTCTCTCGTGTCGCATAAAGAGTGACTTTACACAATATTCGAATGCAATAGTATGCATGTGGGTATTTCGCATGCACGTAGTCAACATTATTAGATTGAATGTACACGTTAGTCTCATGCATAATTATTAAATAGAGTATGGTAGCTGATACACTAATAGAATAATTAATTAATGTAATATAATCGCTATTATTTTCTATAAGTTATTTCTTACAACAAAATATAATAGAGAGAAATGTATGACTGAGAATGTTATTATAATGGATGCACATATAAATATAATTTAATGATGTATCACAACTTTCAGAAATTATAACATTTAAACTTTAGAATTAAAAGAATTTGTATTACTGCGAATTATATGTTCGCACTTTTACATAGGATATTTAATTGCACAAAATATCGTGAAAATGAAAAGATTCACAAACTTTACCGAAATTATTAATTATATATTTTATTACACAATGAATCTTAATGATTATTGATAAGACAATGATATCTAGTGATAAGTAATGAAATTTGCAATAATTACAACTATTATTATCTATTCTAACATTTGCAATAATATGATTTTACAATTATTCTATGAACACTATTTGTGTAAATACTTTTTATTAAATGAAACATTACCGTTGGCATTTTTTGTGCTTTGTTTCGGTGACTTTACCGGGGCAGTCTATTTATTGGACGATTATGTGTGGCGCACGACACAATATAACTATCGTAGCCAGAACCGTGAACAATGTAAAGATGAACAAGCAAAGCCTGTAAGGAAGAGAAGCAAATATATATTTAGTAGTTTTCTGTCCACAGGAAAGCATACAAATTATAAAAATAGAATAAAAATTATAACAGGATAAAATAAGTATTTAGAATTTCAATTAATTATTACCTTCTTATTATCAAATTTCAAAATCACATTTATTAATTAGTGTATAAGAATACATTGAAACTTTGACTAAATGAAGAAAAATGTTCAATTTCATCAAATAATTCAGAAATCAAATACTAACAGAGTAGATTTTATTTAACAACACTGGTCATTTTTCACTAAACATTTATTACTTTACAAGAATATATTATTTGAAAATCTTTCTACAAAGTAAGTTATGTTTTAATCGTGTAACACGAATGGGTATAGGAAAATTAATATCCACCGTGTAATTACTTAATCCGGAACTAACCCAGCACATATTGGGTAATAAGTAAACAAATTAAAATTTCAAATTTTAGTTCAGTGTATTGTTCTGAAATTCCATTGATCATTATTATACAAGTGTATTTAAATTATCAAAATGTACAAAGTGTTAAAAAATAAATAAGCACAATTTCAGGAGATACATCTTCATCTCTCGATCAATAGACATTTGAAAAAGGAGTAGATTATCAAAATTATGATACTCGAAATCAATATTAAACTAGTTTAAAAGAAACTCCACGCAACAAACAAGTAATAGGTATTTCAGATATAAATTAATAGATTTCTATCAACAATTTAATTGCGTAGAATTATGTCTATATATAAACTGCGACTTACTAATTAATACTGTACATCTGACGGTGTCGCCAAGACACGGTATAATGATATATCTGTCGCTACTCAAACCATACGAAAACGGATGGAAAATTTATACTCGAAACGATCGAACAAAGTAACGGTCATTGAAGAGCATTTGTAGAAAATATAAATGTCAACATCAAATGTTTCAAGAAGAAAAAAAAAGTGTCACTAACATGACATTGTATTATATTATAATGATATCATCTTTCAATATTATCAGTATCATCGATGACTACCACTATTAATACTAGAACTACCGTACCAGTCAAAATGGCTCCTTTCGTTTTTTCTGCTTCGAAATTATTGATATTTTAAGAGCATTGAATATTTGAAATGATTTTGAAAATAAATAGTTTCACTTGAATAAATGAATGTCTATAATGGATGCCCGATGAAACTGAAAATAATCTATTAATCGTATTAAATGCTCGGCAATTCTAGTAATAATGACTACTTACAAAAGAAAACTTGCACTTAAATTGTATATTATAGGATAAGCACAAAGAAAAGATAATTTTTCTGTTTTGGTACTTACAGTGTTTTCTACAAGAGCTCTTTAATTTTCTCTTATACATACCCAAATTATTCTTTCTAATCTCAGAATATAAAACATGTAGATAATATATAGCAAATAAGCGAATTTTAAACCACAAGTACATGCTAATCGCGTTAATGCTGGTGTAAATAGTATGCAATTGGTTATCATTTTAAAAATACAATTCATTGGTTTTTAACTAAGCTGATTATCGATCACAAATAAAGAGAAACTAAGACAAATTGTAAGGCCATTAGTAGGCTAATTTATTTTCCATTACATAGTAACATTGAACATTATAAATAATTTTGCAAAACATTCTTTTAAGAAATGTCCACGGACCAGAGAGTGTGAATTTGTTACCTGAATTTCTGACTATTCAATTTTTCACAGCATGTACTATTTAGATCCACTTATTCAGGATGTTTTTTTTCAGTTAGAAATTCTGAGACATAAATGAACCGATCACTGACCAAATTGGTTAACTCCACTTTTTACATGTATATGTGAATCAATAAAATTTTTAAGATTTTATCGTTAAAGCGCTTGATTGACTCGTAATTTTTTGTATTCAAAATAAATTTCCTCGTTATTAAGTTAGATGCTAGAGAATAAAAATTTTATGCATTTTACATATTTATTATATTAAAGCTTAAAATTAATGTATAATATAATATTGCATCAGTTCTCTCTACTTTTTGTATTGTGGGGTTAACTGATTTTGTCAATCAGTGGCTCAGATAAGTATATTTCGAACCTGTCCACCACCATAGCGGCGAATTTCCAATCGTTAATAACATCGTCGCCTTCGTCCGCCTTTTTCATACGATCCGTAATGAATCGCAATTCCTTAAGGATTGTGTGCAATTCTTCTTGCATACCACTAAGGGGTAACGACACCGATGTATCTTCGACTGTCGCTGGTCTTCCTGTGGATATCGGTGTACCGAACGCCGACCTACTGTTGTATAAATAAATAATTTGCTATTATTTATTAATTATTACAATTAGAATTTTTATTTGCAGATTATGTTGCCATCTCCTTTCGATTATACATTATTATATTTATGAATCTGGCTTTACGTAAAACGTTTTGCAGATCGAAAACTATATAATTCTAGATATATAAAATGAATTACATTGTTATGAGAATTGATTTAAAATTATACACATATAACGCTGTAACGCATTGTATTAATGGGATTGGAAAGGAGTCCATTATTTTTAATCTAAACAGAAAGTTTTATATGTTAATCTAAAAGATACATTTGAAGAATGGCTTACTACATGGGAGACTGTCCTGAAAGTAGAAGGAAATTTATGTATTCCCATTGAAACGTAGTACCTTTCTCAAAATAAAATGCGTTTCTCATAATAAAATGAAGCAACAAGAAATTAAACGTGTTGAATGTACTTAGCAATTGTTACAATATTACGATCCAATATTAATGTATACAAATGTTTTAAATATATCGTAAGACCAGTCTCGTGGCAATAATTTTCAACTCACAATTTCAGAAGAAGATGTTTAGAAAATGTTTTTGTAAACTTAAAGGGGTGTTTAATAAATTATGTTACCTTATGTATGCGGAAGGAGGATTAGCTGCGCTATTTTTATGACGAAAATCATCGTCAATATCTAAAACGTTTGCCAGCAAACTTTTGCTACTTCTTTCCTGCAGTTCCATGTCCTTCATTCGGTTGCTCATAAGGATATTTTTCTTCGTGACTTTCTTTCCCGGACGATTCATACGCAGCAACCATGGCAACCATTGTAAAAATAGTGTTTTTATCTATATGCAAGGCAGAAACACAAATTAAACTCGTATTCAATTATCATTATATATGTAATATTTTAATGTTCTGCCACCTGTTCACAGATACAGCATACTTATGTCTTAAGACAACAAAGTTGAAAAACTAAATAAATCTTCATAAATATCAATTAAATAAGAAATATTCTAACACTGTTAATTATGGTTTTAAAAAATTCTATCAACCTGGGTATTTTTAGAAACAAAATACATTGATTAAATTCTTGATCCTTTGTATATGTTCCTTTAATTGACTGTCTTTTCAAATAGACAAATGTTGCTCGCAATCGTGATTTCACTACATATTCAGTAACAATAAACATTCTGTTTTTTAATTTGCAACAATTGAAACTATACAGAAACTTACAATTTCTTCTTAAAGATAGAATAAATCTATCCCTGTCTGTCATTCTAAAGAATCGTAATCAATACTTTTTCTATCTAACATTTTAGTGATTCCCCATACATGAAACTCGTAAAACTCGGATTTTTCCGAAGCTTTAGTGAGTTCGAAACTCTAATTCTTGTAACGCGAGCTTCTGAATACCCAGCGTCGCGCACCATCTTTTTTTTACTGTACTTTACATGAAGTTAGGTCTCTTCGGCGTTTACTTCCATTTAAACGTAACAGTATGAAGAACAACTACGGAAAATTTTTCGTAGCTGAAGGATTCTCGTCTCAGCCTCGAATACGTTCTCCCTTGGTTTATGAAACTTCTAGTAATCAACGGTCAAGAGGAAGTGCTAACACCTCGAAGGCGCTTTTAAACTTTCAGCAACCAAGGCGCTGTCTTTTAAGGTCGTAATAGCTACCGCGAATAAGACTGGTGTTTTTTGTGTGTCCTGCTGGTAAAATTCTTCTATATACCGTCTAGGCAAACAAATTTCAAGAGTTCGTTAGTCGATTTTCCGTGAATACCTTCTACTACCCGGAATTTTTTAACCCCATCAGACCTGATTTTTCTTCTAGGTTGTCGCACAAGTAATGTCGTTTTTTAAATGGCCTTCTACCCTAGCATCTATTCTAATAATCTTTTTAATACTCCATTTCGAGAAAAATGGCATTATAAAAAATACCCTATGAGGTGAAATAAGAAACGAAATTACTTATGAAATGACCTAATATAAAATTATGTTCACTTACGTAACGATAAAGTACTGATACTCAATATATCACCAATAATAATATTATTTTAAATAAAATGGTAGTATACTTTTTTTATATAAATAGGCTCAAAGCAAACCTACACGCACGCACGCACACACAAACACACACACACACCATGCGCGCGCGCGTGCGCACATATGTTTTTCTTTTGTGCTCTTGTTGATTGTTAGATTGTTGTCATTATAACCCGTCAGACTGTACGTTAGAAGTTGAAAATTATAAATTATATTATCAATTCTGTTAAATACTAGATAATAAATGTTTAATATTGTAATCTTTGTTTAGTCATTCCATTATATGAATTTGATGGAAAAAGACGTTAATGTGATGTGTGGCACACTATATTAACTTATTATTATAAAAATGTATCGTATTTATAAAAATTCTGTCACACGGTTGTCTCTGAAAGTTTTAATATTTGATCAAATATTACAGTGGTAAGACAATGAATATTATAATGTGTGTCATATCTGAATGGGTTAACCTTTCTCAGAAGTTTGGAATAATTTTGAATGGTTCCACGTTTATATTTTTATTGCATATTTTGTACAATGTTCCTAGACATTATTTTATTTTTTCTGAAACCCGAACAACTGAATGCTAACCGCTAACAATTAAATTCAATATTTATACAGTATCTGAATATATATCGAAGCTTTAACTAGTCTAGGCATGTCTAAGTAGTTGGTAAACTAGTTTCAGTGAGCTGAGTGTCAGGGGTAGTGAAACCATGTCCCAAATGAGCCCGTATCTCGTGATAAGACAATTCGTCAGTGGACAACTCTCACGCTTTCTACATAGTGAGAAACAAATATTTACGAAATTCTTCGTTGAGCATCTCTAAATTAATTTTTTTATTATAATATTCTCTTTCGAATTTTGAAATTGACGCTTTGGAACAGTGCGAAATATATATGCACGGGAAAAAGTTTTTCTCTGAAATATATTTTTCAATAAAATCAATCCAAGCTAGGTGTTATATTGTATTTCATATTCATTTTTATGTTTAATTTTAAATATTTTTGTTCCGTGTTTTCTGGAAAAGTAAAAATTGTTTTTAATTCACCAACATCTTAACCACCATTTAGTAACTTCGTGGCGTGAGTTCCCTGCAATTTACTATTAACTTCGGCACGTTATTTAGTTACTATAGAAACAATCTAGATCGGGTCTGCACGATAAAGTTAACAAAATATGTGTGGTACAGGGAAAGCATACATATAGTGAAACAAGTTCGCGTAGTTAAAAGACATTGGTCGAGATGCAGGCAGTGGAACGAGCCACAAGCAGCGAAACGCTTTAAATTATCCGGGCAAGCGGCAACACTGTGAACTTAGTTATAGTCTACTTGTACATTTATCTTAATTGTCGTTAAAATAATTAGTACATATTCTCTATATGTCTAGACTTCTATTATACGGTTGACATACAACAGAAGTCTTTCGATTTTTTGTGATTTTAGTTTTTCGCGTAGATCATCGTTTGGTTAGCGAATGTTGAATGGATATGTACTGTCCCATTGTTCGAATTGTTTCGTTTCTTTTTCTGTCTTCCTATTATTTAAGGAATATTTTGTCTGAGGAATAATTTATTCGTTACATAAAGAATTACTGTCTATGTTGACAAATATCCAGCATTCTATCAACAAGTTCTCAAAAAATTCTTAGTCTTATGATTGATTTTTATGAATTCCTAAACGAATGTACAAAACATTTCATAATTTAGTTGGTGCTAAAGTTATGCGCCACATTCTAGTGTATATAAAAGGTCCACCAAGAGAGAACGTGATACAAGGTGTAAGACACAGTTGGAAAATCAAATATTTACACATAAATCCATTTCGTTGTAATTATATACTAGTAATTCAGAGATTAACTTTTTGCATTGGAAAGGCAAATGTCAGTCGCCATTTGATTTTACCCAGCACAATTATAAAACTATAAAATCAGATATTCGGTATTAAATTGCACATAAATATATCAACCCATGGAATATTGAAATTCCGTCTTAACCAGTTGTTCTATGATTTACTTCTTAACTATGATTGATGTATCTACATTATCGTTAATAATTTAATACGAAAAGAAAAAAAGTGTTGATGCTTATTCTATATTTATTTTCACTTCAAAGATTAACGGTTTATAAGAGAAATGTAATATTTAATTTATATTTTAAAAAAGTAAATTACATTTAGATTTCTCAAACGCAGTTTAAAATGTTCATCACGCGTCTGACACGATATTATAGGTCAACAGGTGTGAAACTTTTCTGTATATTAGTTAACAAAAATATTCATATTTCGTAAAAGAAGTACTGAATATTTCTAGTGAAAAATGTTGTCGAGTGAAAAGGGTGGACATTAAAAACAGTTTCTTACCCACTGCGACATCGCGTATCTGTCTGGCGTTCGGTGATGGAAATTCAGAACCACCACTGTCAGGACTACGCTGTTCGCCACCATGAACATGATGCAATTGAAGTATGTCCCTGAATTCGGGGTGTTCCCGAAGATCCCCCGAAGAAAGAAACACAGAAAGGAGGCGATTAGTCACGGTAATGGATAGGGGATCCACTCAATTAGTCACTACGAATGAAAGACAGTGGGGTTTCGCCGGCTCTTGATACTCTACTTTAGCAATTACTGTAAGACCCTATCAGTTTTCAGACGGTTTCGCCCCGGATAATCTTTCATTCGATCTCGCGACTACGCTCATTTTTGTACCCGCGCTCATAAACACACGGACACACGCACACACAATGGGCAAAAAAAGATTGTCGAAAAAGATCACAAAACTCGCACATCGTTCGTACCGACAAAATGGTGGACAAACACAACAATCGATCTTGTGCATTTTGCTCCCAGCATTCATTCGGCACACATCAGTCATAAAAGTTTATCTACGTTCTGCAAATGTAAAATGCAGGTGTTCGATAAACGTTTACATAATGAATTTTGCACTGACTAAAGTTATAAAATTTGATAACGCCAAATAACGGTATTGAATATTTCTGATGAACACAATTGAATACTTCCTTTTTAAAGCAATATTCTGTATTTTTACGGAGGTTCTGCATTGTGTGATAATATATTGCAAAATTACAAAAGAATAACGAAATTATTCAGAGTTCGAAAGTTTAATCTGTTTATGAAAATAATATTTAATCAAATTATTGTCCTTATTGGATTACAAATGGCCTGATTTATAATTTTCTAATTTATGAATATGTCTAATAACGATAAGGCGCTTGCGTGGTTCTGACAAAACGAGTAATTAATTTAATCTACAACATCCAGATAAAATACAATGTAGAGACTGAAGGATTTTAACATATACTGTTCGCTCTTCTAATTTTAATTTATTCAAAATAGTAATACGCAGATAAAGGGAAAAGATAATAATAGCAATAATAATGTAAAACATGTATAATGTTTAATTTAAATTGAACAAATCGTTTGACATAATAAAACTCAATCGTTAACGTGTATTTAATAAACGTCACAGTGAGTTTAAGTATCAATATCCTGTGTTCATTTCGGATGTTGTAATCCTAAAATTCAAGTTTAAGCATTCCTTGCACGCATTTCAGGATTCCACGGAATATTACACCGGCATATATAAACTTGTATGACTGAACCTTCATCAAACAGTGCAGTAGAACACCGACCAAATTATTCTGACAATGGAGGTACTGTCAATGAATTACACAGTTCAACGTTTACTTTTGTGACACTGTTTACTTGATTAAAATCCCTGTGTATCGAACTCCCTTGGCTAAGATGTAATCCAACTTACATATTAATATCAACGATTAAAATGCAACTTTTATTCGATTTCGAATTATTATTTTTACACAACACAGTCATTTTAATTTTAGTTATAAACTAGTGACAATTGAAAAATGTAAAAGATAATTTGTTATCGAATCAACAGTCATATTTAAATCATCGTTAGTAATCTACATAATCAGATTACATTTTGCCCAAATCTGGTATCAAGTACAAGGATTTCCGGCGTGTTTACACCGATGAGAAGAGCAGGGATTGTAAACGATCATATCTTTTCAGAATTTTTTCGTTTATTACGATGTTGAGCCAAACCATAACTGACGCAGAACCGAAAAATAATAGTTTGGAATCGAAATAATATCGATTTTGAAGGAATAAAACTAAAAAGATATAACAGAAAGTAACAGTTACAGAACATAGAACTGATATGGAACCAAAAAATGACAGAACTAATATAAATCTGACATAACATCGAAACCAAAACCAATAAGAACCAGAACAAATGAGTAGATAAGTCCGAAAACATAATTGTTTGAAAGTATTATGTATCGGTTCTGACTGAAACAACAGTTATGAAGAATTGAAATAAAGTCGTATCTGGTACCTAGCACATTGGTTTTGAGCTATATCGTTTTCGCTTCCAGTTCTTTGTAACTGATATCATATCAGTTCTGTAACTGTTACTTTTCAGTTCTTTTTTCGGTTCTGTATTTTTTCCAGAACTGAAAAATAACAGTTACAAAACCAATATAATATTCATTCTAAATAATCGGAAGCAAAATGCATATACAGTGAGTCACAAGAGTAATCGCGCCTCTTGAATTGCCGAATTTAAATGATCTTTATGTACAATGAAGATTTCAAACTTTTTATGAAGCTTTTAAGCTTATATAAACTTTATTGCAAAACAACATGTCAATATAATAAAAATATTATTTTACGTAAACTGGAACAAAAATTGTCTCACAAGGGTTTTCATACCTGTACAAGTTATACTAAAAATACAATTAACGTATTAATAATTAATATTTGGTTGGAGATGCTTTGCATTTTATAATACATTTGAAACGATCTAAATCATCAGGCTTGTGAGATAATTTTTGTTCCGATAGACGTAAAATTACATTTTTATAATATTGACATGTTGTTTTGCAATGAAGTTTATATAAGTTTGAAATCTTTGTAATTCTAACATACATTCCTTTTGATCAGAACTTTGAAACTTGCATTGTAAACAATATCAATCATTTAAATTCGACAGTTCGAGAGGTACGAGTACTTTTATGACTCACAGTAACTCTGAATCAATATACAGTGCCGCTCTCACATCTTGAGTCAATCCACCAAGCTAAAAAGTCACAGGGGTAAGGAGAAAACATCTAGTCGCGATGATCGATTCCGTAGTTATAGCAACGTCGACGCCTTTGTTTCAATTCATTTTTGTTATTGATTGCGTTACGTAAACGAAGAACGCAAACGAAACAGAATACGACAAAGTGAGGTACAAATAAAAAGTGGACGGCCATGTTCATTGTTTATCGTTATATCTGACTTCGTCGTATTCAGTTCCATTTGCATTCAACCCTGGTTAAGATAGGCATATAACGGAAAATCAACGCGCAGGTATAATTACTATTCGCATCTCACGTTAGTTCCATCAACCAATAAGTTAAAAGTGCACAGGGGCAAGGAGACTCATCCACTGACGGTGTTCGAGCCGCTTTGACCTTCGACGCATAGTCATTATTGGCGCGTGGGAATAACAAAGGACACAAGCGAGACTGAACGTGATGAAGTAATACGTAACGATAAAAAACAAAGTTCTCTATACTTCCGTCTCATTCCGCCATATTCGGTCTCTGCCGTCCTTTTTTATTGCTGCGCGCCAATAATGATTATGCGTCCAAGTTCGAGGTGGTCCGAGCATCGTGAGTGGAAGAGTCCCCTTGCCTTTGTGCACTTTTAGCTTAGCTGTCGATGGAACTAACGTAAGAGGCGTATGGTATACAGTAGCAAATATAATAATCGATGTTCTATCGCAATTCGCACGCACACAACCAAGCACACTGACCCACTCCCTGGGATTTTCGTGCAGAGGGTGTTCGTATTCCACGAGATAAGGTAGCCTCCTAGATGTTTCGTTTCTCAGCTCGCGAGACACCGAGCGGAATGAGCCACGAACACGTTTCACAAGTGTATTCCTCGCGCGACCCGTGGTGGTCGCGTTCCCGCGCGGCGATTCTTTGTAGGATCGTTCCTCGTTACGGCGAAGGAAACACGGACGTGGAAATAAAGAATGAAAGAAATTAGACGGGCGAAAGAACGAAAGAAGCCGAGAGATCATAAAAAAGCAAGCACAGTGTACGTATACTCTCGTTTAGAGCCGGGAGAGAAAGGATCGAGCCAACCCCGGCGCGGAAACGGAACATGGAAGCGTAACTTACATGCGAGGTGTACAGATCGCGAGAACAAATATTTCGTTTGGTATATTTCTGATTGAAGCTTCAGACCTGGCCACGCTGGTAGGTATGTACCTACTTACTCGCTGCGGATTCTGCTTGGGTGATCTCGTTACCTGAGCCCGTTACGTGCTCCACGGTAATTTTTAGATGTTCCTTGTAGCTTTCTTCCTTGATTAGACGAAAATGTAATTGCGTCTGAGGCGAGACCGAATGTATCGTCACGTTTTGCGGAAGAATACGTTTATAAGTATCGAGATAAATCTTTGTTACAAAAGGCTATGCTTTGCGAAAGATATTTTTGGTGTTTGCTTAAACAGATGTGTGTTTCAACGATTTCATCATTTTATTTCTTTATTATTATTTGTATATATGTATATATATATATATTTATTTATTATCAGTTTATCTTTTATTATTATTTTGTGGTTCCTTTGTTTTTGAAAATTAAGATAAACGAAAGTTTTTTTTCAATCTGAAATATATTCTCCTTTATTAAGTATAGGTTAAATAAGAATGTATTTTAAATTGAAAAATGTTTGATTCCATATTTGTTAAAATGAACGAGATATGGAAAAGTAACGTTGTTTATGGGATGGCCAAATATGCTTGTTTTAGTGGAGGCAGTAAATAATGGATAAATACTGCATCATTTACCAAAACTAACCAAATATTTGCACTTGTCTGTTCAATCTTTTTTCCAAATTAGAAGTGAAACGATTGAATCGATCTAAAACAGATAATCCTATTATCTTATTATCATTGATTTATTAAAGGTCTAATCATTCGCACAACAATAATAATAATCAAAACTAATAACTAATATTTAATATTCGAAATAAATTCCAGTACAAATGAAAATTTTAGTAACGATTAACTATAGAAATTTGGAAAATTTTTAATCTCTGTATTAACTCTTTGCACTCGGTAGACTATTCTCAGTCGCCATTTGATCTGACATAGCGAAATTATAAAAGTCGGTACTCAATATTAAATTTGGTGTAATGAAATTATACACGAGATATTGTAATGAAATAGCTCCATGCCCTGATTCGTATATTATTTCTTTACAATATAGTTAAAACTTTAATTAATGTTTTATCAGAACATTATGAATATACGTAGCGAGAACACTTTCGAGTGTAAGGGGTTAAGTGATTAATTTCGTAATCGGGAGGTATCGAGAGATTCCAATGGAAGAGGGGTTGAGAGCAATACTTGAATTGGCTTCAACAACTTAT